TTTTGATCTCTTAATACTTATGTATTTAGTTTGTGTAGACTCTTAAATCTCCCTTTGTATCTCTCAATAATACTACTAAAGTAAAAGCATAGGAAGCAATTCACCAAGAGAAGTGAAAAAACATTTATTAAACATTTATTATATTTAGTTGTTCAGCCAATATCTAGTTATTGCGTGCTGTATCAGACCCAGTTTATATACTTTTCCAGATTTGTCTGCCTCTCCCCACACTGTTCCTCTGGCTACTTGTTCCATGTCAAGCAGCTGCTCCTCCTGCCACCTTGTCTCCAACACCACCAGCTGACTCAGTCTCCCTGAGGGTGATGGTTTTGGCTCAGCCTATGTCATGAGCATGTGGCATGAGCTATGGCAACTCTGGGACTCCACCTGAACTGGTGTTGTTGAGGTTCTGACTCCTCCCATCACTTCAGGATTCCCATGAAGCACTATGCTGTGGGGTATAGGATCTGGCTTCCCCTCAGGCTGACCAGAGGGGCTGGGTAACAACTCAGAAACAGGGACTTAAAGCCCGGTGGGGATAATTTTGCCTTTCCTTCCTGTGACAAATTATGTGAGGTACAGTGGTTCCAAACACCTGTCTGCAAGAAAATGTATGTCACAGAGCAACTAGCTGTGTTCTCTTAAGAAGTTATGGGCAGCTTGGTAACTCGTTATCTTGTATTGGCTGTGTTTCCCCTACTCCCTCACTGTAGCTGTTCTTGAATTGCACCTCTTCATAAAGACTTCTCATGTAAGTTTTACTTCACACTCTCTTTGCCAGAGAACCTAAGCGAAAACATACCTACCACATACATAAACGCTGTACTATACATTATTCTAGCCCAAGGTAGGGGCACAAAAGACAGAATAAATCAATCCTGTCCACAGCAACCTTACAAAATAAGCGGAGAGGCAAGACATCTACACATGTAACAGTAAGTGAAAAAGAAGACAAAATGAAAGATGAGGAAAACTGGAATGAACATAATAAAGGGATAAACTGTACAGAGGGTTAGAAAATAGGAACTAATTTCTGCCCCTAAAAAGGGCATGAGAGAGCTCTATGGCTTCCACGTAACTTCTCTTATGTGATTCTTCTTACCCTCAAGTGCTTTTTACAGTGGCCTTCTCTGGCTATATTTCTGCCATGGAGTTTCTTTTCACTCTGAGAGACACCCTAAACATTTCAGAAACATTTCATTTGTCTTCTATACCCCAAAAGAATTACTCTTCCATGGCAGAACAGGACCAGCAGTTCTCATGAGCCCATCCTTCTATGCTATTGTACACTTGAAACTTATTTGATTTTATTAACCAATGTCACCCCAATAATTTTAATGAAAGTTAATTAATTAATTTTAAAAAGAGGTTGCTTTTTATGACAGTCCCCTCCCATTTCACCTGCATGCTGTTAACTTCTTTGCTCAATTAACTGACAATATAACAAACACACGTCCTCCAGAGAAGATTCCTAGTTTGGGGACATCACTCTTCAGGGATGGCTGCTGTTGCCATTGGCCATTTATTTCAGTTTTCCTTCTTTCCCTAAAGAGTAACTGACTGAATGGTTTGTGATTCTCTACTTTTGTCACACGACATACTTTCCATAATTTGATCAAATAACACTGGTGCTACTAGGGATATTTAAGGTAACAACAGTAGCCTATTATAACTGGTATGGAGAAAAGAAATAATTGTCTGGTAACTGAGTTAAATATTCCAGCAATTCAATTAGAAGTTCATGTAACAATAACTTACAGATTTTTTTTTCTTTTTGCTCAAACATCGGACCTCAACCCCAAAATCTCTAGATACCAGGCAAGTGACTTTTCTTTTTCTTTCTTTTTCATTTTCTTTTACAAGTTACAGAGGTGACACTTCTGTATGTATCTGGTTAAACATTACTAGCTGATAGCCACTTGTTACTCATCTTTCTATTACGTCAGCCCTTGTGCCAAAGTGACTTTCCAATAATGTGTACACAAATTTGGTAGCAATTCTCAATGTCTCATACCAAACAGCCGTCTTTTAGCCCTGAAAGCTACTGTCACTAATACTGGCCAATGGGCTCCACACTGATTTCAGCAGAGAAATAAAAGCATGGCCCTGTGGAAACCACATCCATACACCTTTGACACACAGAAGGAAAATCAACCTCCAAGCAAATGGGAAAGGCACAGTCACCCACTTCCTCAAGAGCTGTGATACCACAGATCTGTACTTCTTTGGTTTTTCCCACAGTTCTACGCCACTGCAAGAGGACTTGCTGACTTATATTTCTGAACTAGAGATTTTCTCTCCAAACAAAAGATTTCTGTGCTTCTATGAAGCACACACTACCACAGCATACCTTCAGAAGAAAAACAAGCCCTTCACAGAATACATGAAAGATGAGCTTCTCTGGGGACATGAATGGCTGATGTGATCGTAGGACAAGAGTTTGCTGAAGAGTATGGTAATAATTGGGACAAGTGGTGACGCTTCATCTTGAAGTGGTTAGCACCACAGCCTGAGCCATGAGAGCTGCGTTGGCCTCACCACACTGGCTGAGAGGGGAAATATTTATGTAGTAATATCTGATATATACATTTGCCCTTGTGTGAACATTAAAGACTCAAGCCCTTAAAAAGTACACCACTATCCTCATTTTCACATTATGATCAAGGCCAATACTTAATTTGATTATTCAAAACATTTAATATAATTTTAACATTTCATATAATCATGTAGGTTTTTTCTAGCTTATTTTCCAGTATGAAATTTTATTTGTGGGGAGATGAGTGAAAAAGGTGAAAGGATTAAGAAACACAAATTGGCAGTTATAAACATAGTCATGGGATATAAAGTACAGTGAAGGGAATATCATCAATAATATTATAATAACTATGTATGGTGTCAGACAGGTACTAGATTTATCAGAGTGATCATTTTGTAAGGTATATAAATGTCTAATCACTATGTTGTATACTTGAAACTAATATAATATTACATATGAACTGTATTTGAAAATTTTTTAATTATAAAGAAAATTTATTTGACCATCAGTTCAGTGGCTTTTGACTGTAACACAAATACTTTCCAAATAACCCAGTGGAAAATAAAAAGTCATTTTTAAAATTTTGCTCTGAATTTTAAAAATTACTGAGAGTTTTTCAGGAGAGATTATTCTCTCCCCATAACCTCTAAAAATATCTCCCAGTCCTTTTGCTACTAAGAGGCACTAATAGGATATATATATGCTTAATTGGCTTCACCAAAAAAATTTCAGTGTGTCTACCTTGGTTATCGCTTATCATATGGATTTTTTTTATCCTTCTTAGATTCATTCGTTCATTTTTTTCAAGTCAAAGAACTGCCATCATTCCTATAACTGTTCTTAAAAGATAACATTAGTCACCGTATTTTCATAATATGTTTCTCATCTGGTAGTTAATTTCCCCAGGGAGTACTGCAGACATTTTATTTTCAGATAATCTCCAATTAGCTGCTTCTCTTCATAATCCTGTCCAGCTCACATTCACAATTTTCTTCTGTACATATTTCACTTCGCATATTTCTTCTCCTCTTAACATATTTCAAGAAATATATGTAATTTACATTGTTTATAATTCTACCTCCTATTTGCTCATTCATCTACTTGCAAGAAATTTTAATGTTCAAAATCCAATTTTTTTAAAAAAATGCATGTCTATTAAATGTTGCTCTTCCCATCTAAGCTCACTCAGCATTCAACCTATCATTTTATGAGAAAGATATTTCTGAGGTATATATATTAAATATGATCCTGATAAATAAGACATGCCTAACACATAGAGAAGTGAGAGCTCACCTAGTTGCTCTCATTTGAAAGACACACCTTTTCTCCCGAAAAAAGTCATATGTCTCCACTCCCATGTCAATACCAAAATTTCTTCTGGAAAGACAAAAACTTTTAATGCCAAAATTAGAGATATAGCTTAAAACAGGTCAGGAAAAAATGATTTGACTTTGTGCTAATGAATTAAAGTTGGAAACTTTCTTGAGAATGGGTTACATAGTATTGGGGTAGGAGTGTCCAGTGGGTATTATGTCCCTCCAACAGCACCACAGAAGAGAAAAAACTGAAAAGCGGGGGAAGCTGGGGCCAGTAAATGAACTTCACTTCATTTTCCATTTTTATGTATGACAGAAACCATCTTCAGTTATTCAGTAACAAATCAGGAAGTCTGATATTTAAGTATTTATGCAGTGCTTTAATTTCATGTGTGTGTGTGTGTGTGTGTGTGTGTGTATTTAATTTATAGGCACTTGTATCTACAAAAGGAATATACTTTTATAACAGGGGTCCCCAAGGCCTGGGCCTCAGACAGGTACCTGTCCATGGCCTGTTAGAACCAGGCTGTACAGCAGGAGTTGAGCAGCAGGCAAGTGGGAGAAGCTTTGTCTGTATCTGCAGCCACTCCCCAGTGCTAACATCACTGCCTCAGCTCCACCTCAGATCACCAGGCATTAGATTCTCATAGGAGAGCCAGTCCCTGGTAACAAAAAGGTTGGGGACTGCTGTTTTATAACATTTGACCAAATTGAGGAATCTGGGGAAAATAACAGATCTTATCTTTCTTTGGCCTTAGTCGATGTTTGTATCAACCATCAATCATTAAGACTACCTAGTTCACAGATATCAGTGCAGAGATTCTGTTTTCTGCACACAAAATAAATCTTTGCAGACACTTGATGACTGGTAACCTCCTATATGCATTTCTACTTCTGAGAAGACCCCTATTCCCAAATAGTAAGCAATACTTTTCTAAAACAAGAAACAATCTATGTGATTTGAATGAATATAAAGTTCTTAGCAATATATGAATTGCTGATTTTTCTTTTTTTATTTTCCCCTCCCACACTGTCAAGTGCCCAATTCTCCCCCTTCCGCCACCACTGATGCTATCAAAGTTCACCAGCTCCTCCTTTGAACTGCTGATTTTTAAAGTATATAAGTATACAAATAAATTCTTACCTACCTTTCTTGTGGCCACGTATTTTAAAAGAATCCTGGGGTCTTATATTGCAGGAAGAGTTTCTCAGCTATCTAGAAAGAAATGAGACCAGTTCTCCAATTCACAAAACATTTCCCATCTCTAACAGAACCTACCACCTGATTACTCATTCTACACTTATTCTGCATGAATTTATAGTGTAACTTGACTTTATAAGATATCCATAGTTCCTCTCCCCAATTTCATTGGTCTCTTTCTTTGGTCTCATTGAATATCCCACAGCCCAGAGTAGAAAGCCAATAAATACCCAGATTACCTAGATTCTCCCCTACCCCTAGTCTTATATTCTTTCTATTACATGACACTGTCTCAGAGCTCTCTAAGGAAGCAGCTTTCAGAATTGGGGGGAGGGGAAAGAGGAAGAGAGGGAGAGTGAAGTATGTTGAGAAAAAATGGGAAGAAACCATTCATGGTAAATAACTACTTTATATAGTAACATCATGTTGGTAAAAGAAAAGTGCCCGTTAACTAAAGGTTAATGAAAACTACAGGTGTTTGAAAGCAAAGACCTAACTCTATTCTCCACACACACCCTAAAATAGCACATCCAGAAAAGCAACCCTACACAGTTAAGAAAGAATCATTACACAAGTGATATGAGTTCAACACTGTGGCAGTGCTGGGAAAACAAGATGTGTGTGTGTATTAAGCAACATAAAAGAATCATAATCTTGTGTTAGACTGAGTGGAATAGGTTGAAACATTATAAAAAAATTAGTGTGAGCTAGATATTATCATGCTCTGTTTTTTTTTTTTCTTTTACAAAAACTCATCTTTGATGTGTCATACTAAGGTATTGCCTACAATAATTTCATATGCCATTTGTAAATGTTTATGAGTTTTCATAATCATATATTCAAATTATTTGTAAGTATTCCATAATATAGACCATTGCAATTTCATTTATAATACACAAATATTAATTTTTAAAAGGTTTGAAAATAAATATTATTAAAGTTTATGATAGACTTTCTAAAATTGTGAGCTAGTATTTACCAACCAACAACAAAACATGTCAGTATTTTCTGGTGAGAATATGTCCATCACTGTAACAGCACTGAGAAGCAAGGAAATATGTAAATAACAATTTCTGCATAATTAGTATAGCAAGAAAGAACACATTTGTGGAATTTATTTAAAAAAATAAGTCTCTCATAATCTGAAATGTAATTAAAACCTATAAACATCAAGTTTTCTAAAAATGAACTGAGAAATAATGTGAAAGCATTTTGTAAATGGAAAATCCTTATCATGAAATAGGTGTTAGAATCATCATTATTGTTATTTTAGTTGTAAAATAACTTGAAGAAAAAAATAGAACACAGAATTACTATACAATATGACCTCAATTCTGTTTGTTTTCCTCTTTTTAAATAAAAGAATTAGGTATTGTTTCTTCTGTATTTCAGGTGGGGAACCGAAGCTATTCACCCCACAACTCAGAGAAAACCAATGATGTAGTAATCACTGACAGAATAAATCATTTTGCTCTTCAAGTCTCTTGCTTTCGGTTCAAACTGTGCAACTTACTTTGAGCAGTCCATGCTTTTAGCTGTTGTTAGAATCTTAAGAGTTTACAGAGCCTTCTGACCTGCCCTGTGGAGATTAATGACATATTTAATCACATTCTGTCTAACAGGAGGAAAAGGATTTTGACATCATGGCGGCAGCTCCTCCACAGAAAATTATAGGTATGTTTATGATATGCATTACAGAGTGGACCAGCAGCAAGAACAAGCCTATGGGATGTGGGGGTTCCAACCTGCTATGCAGCAACTTGACATTTCATAGATAATACCTCTACCAGGGGCCACTTTACAAGTTCTTAGGTCAGAAGAATGTTTTTCTATGTCTTAGGTTAAGGGAATGTTTCTCCCTTCTCCTATGCCTCTCTTTTCTGAACTGTAATACCAACTATACAGCCTTCAAACCCTATGTTCCATCCTAAGCTCAAAATTATATTTCTATAGCTAAATTACTTAGTGCTGTATGTCAGATCCTGCAACAAGCACTTTATATGCATTACCTCATTTCATAAACAGCTCTGAGAGGCGGTACTATTATTGTCCTCATTTTTACATGTTAAAAAAACAAGGCTGAGTGAACCTAAGTAATTCGCTTAAGGGTACCCTAACAGTAAGTGACTAACCTGGGGTCTATCCCAGGTCTGTATGCCTTTGGCCCAAGTTCTTTAGTGTATGTGAAATATTCTAAACATACTGAAAAGCAGAACATATAATAACACATTACTCAGCTTTGACAAATAAAATGGAAAGATACAGATAATCCTCGACATAAAAATACATTTAAAAGTATAATGGAGGAGGTGAGAAAGCAAGGCGGAGTGAGAGATGTCCTCAGATCGCTCCCCTTGAGAAAACAATAAGCTGAACATCTAAAACTCAACAAAAACCACCCAAATTGCACACCAGCACGTCTGAGTGTGAGAAATAAAGAAGAGGCAGCTTCTTTATTTCTCCAAGACCACCTCCCAACACCCGGGGTTCTGACCTGACAGAACCTGTCAGAACCCCGGATGTTGGGAGGTGGTCTTGGAGAAATAAAGAAGCTGCCTCTTGCAGCTGCTGGAGATCCTTTCAGGAGGAAGAGGGGGAGTGAAGGTGCGGCGCTTCCCTGATTAGCCTGCCTGGAAGTGCCGGCACTTTTAGCAGCCAGCAGCAGGGCTCAGTCATCAGGGCAGAAAGTAGAGAAGTGGGACGGGACCACAGAGAAACAACAGCTGATTTTTAGTGGTCCTAGTTGCAAAACTGAGGCTGAGCTACAGCCCCCAACCCCTAACCAGAGGGCCCTTCCCCTCATATTGTCTGAGACTGACCACCACAGAGCCCAAGGGAATCTAAGCAAATGCTACTGAAACTGTTGCTAACACTGACAGGGACTGAGACTGAGAGCAGTGAGCAAGATTTAACAATCAGGCAAGAGAAAGACATAAAAGGCATCCAAATAGGAAACGAAGAAGTCAGACTGTCACTTA